GAAAAAAGAGATGAAAGAAGAAAGCATTGGGGTCTGTGCCAGGTTCCATGCTGCTTATCTTCTGCGCACGTGACCTAGTGTGGCTTTGGTAGCTCTGCTTCAGGAGGCAAGGAAAATTAAGAATAATGGTTACAGTTAATGATGCACAAAAATACAGAGATAGCATAATTGTTTCTGCTGAGTCTTCTGGGTCAGCTCGGTGGGTCGCCTTGCATCCCATGACTGCAGGATTTGAGTTAGTAAAGAGGACGACCACTGCCTCCTAATAGCACCCTCCCATGCAGGCTGCAGCCACGCTCCAGTGCTCGATTCAGAAACTCCAGTTAAGGGTGGGTTGAAAGCAGACATTTTTGGGTGATTAGTTCTGTTTTTAATCCACATACAGCCTGGAATGGAAAAGTAACCACATTTTATTTTAAAGAGTGTCTAGGGACAGTGCCAGAATCTTTCTTTCAGCACATTTTCTGATTAGCTAGGTATAAAAGTATTTTAGTGTTACTTCAAAATAAAATCTTAACCTTTTGTAGGTCTTATGATTTTTCCAATTACAAAACACTCCTCTTCCTGTGTGATTGATTATTAGACCTTAGATATCAAATATTAGGGTGTGTGTTGAGAATGGACTTGCTGACGGAATGAATGCTTCAGAAGGACCTTTTTGATTCTGGAAAGTGAATTATATTAAATTTCCTCGACTTCAGTGCATTGTTATAACAAGTGAAAGTATTCCAGCCTGAAAAAGAAAATCTGGCAGACAGTCTGTCTTTCTTTAAGACTGTGAAATGTAAGATTGTGTGAGTCTTACTTGTTTGCTGAAAGAAAAAAGTGGTACCTTGAGCAGAGACAGCTCTGGTAGGATGCCAGATGGAGAGTAAGAGAAAAACAGGGATAGAAACCCTTTCTCTGAGAAAGGATCGTGGAAACTTCCTCAGCCCTGAGATCTAAGTATAGAACTGGCCCTTTTTGCCTTTCTCAGCTAAATGTCATGTGTCTTAGAGTGTTTGGCCAGAAGATGATGGCTACAGTCCCATCAGCACATCCTTATACCATGACATGACCAGCAAGATCACAGAATTTCACGCAAGCTGTGCCCCAAAAGGTGAGCAGTTGCCAGCAAGGGCCTCTGTAGTGCTTTTCCGTGCCATGAGGCAACACCTTTTAGAAGGTTCCGGGAGGTTAGAATTTACTCACCCCTGGCAGCATCAGGAGCATTAGATTCCACATTAGCCAAATAGATAACAGTTGCAGAAAGTGTGATGCTGTGTTTTTGAACCACGGCTTACAGTTGTGCCTGGAGTTAGGGAAAGTCATGGGTGTCATCCTACCTCATCCAGAACAGTAGCCTCAACACTGCTACTCTTCTGAGAAGTGCCCCACGATGTTTTTTTGTTGTTTTTTGTTTTTGCAGTACGCGGGCCTCTCACTGTTGCGGCCTCTCCCGTTGCGGAGCACAGGCTCCGGATGCGCAGGCTCAGCGGCCATGGCTCACGGGCCCAGCTGCTCTGCGGCATGTGGGATCCTCCCGGACCGGGGCACGAACCCGTGTCCCCTGCGTCGGCAGGCGGACTCTCAACCACTGCGCCACCAGGGAAGCCCCCCCCCCACGATGTTTTTAATCTGTTGGCAAATATTTGTCGAGTTCCAGCTGTGCTCCAGCTTTGGCTAGATGCTGTAGTTGAGATGATCATACGATTTATCATCAGTCACTTTTGGAGTGAGAAGGAGCTAGTGGTGATTATACTGAGACAGTAATTATCAGCTGGGCCTGTCGTTCTGGCCACCAGAATGGGCAATTGCCTGAACCATAGGGGATCTAAGAGTGCCATTCATATCCTTGGGCCACACTCTAAAGGATACTTACAGCCCCGTTAGAGAGCTGGTACTTAAACAGTAAACAATTCAAGAACATTATTTAAAAAGTCCTTCTCTTCCGCAATTGTCCCGCTACCCACCCCCTACCCCTCAATCAATTTCTCCTCTTCTTGTTTACTCTCGTCTTCTCACAATAAAAGCTTCTTGAAAAAATAGTCTATACCAGGAGTCAGCAAGCATTTTCTATTAAGGACCAGGTAGTAAGTATTTTAGGTTTTATATACCATCTGGTCTCTGGCAACTACCCATCCCTGCTGTCGTGTGAAGCAAGTGGCCACAGACAATTCCTAAACGAACGGGATTGGTGTGATCCAAGCTGTCATTGTTTACAGAAACAGGTGGCACACTGCGCTTGGCCCGGAGGCCATCATTTGCTGGCCCCTGCTCTCACACGCACTGTCTCCAACTGGAATCACTCTTGTCAAGGTCATCAGTGACTTCCCTGGTGTCCAGTTTGGTGGTCATCCTCTGTCCTAATCTTACGTGAATTTTCAACAATGTAAGACATAATCACTCTTCCTCTTCCTTCCAACACTTTTGTTTGGCTTCTGTGACACCATAGTCCCTGACTTTCTCTCCTGTCACTGGTGGTTTTTCTCTTGCATCTTTGCTCCCTCCTTTTTTTCTCCTAGACTGCTGAACATTGGAGTGTCCAAGGGCTCAGCCCTGGGCCATCTTCTCTTCTCTTCTTTTCTCTTCTGTCTGTACCCTCTTCCTAGGTGATTTTTAGTCCTACAGACTTAAGTGTCATCTATAAGCTGATGACTTCTGAATTTCAATTTCTCTCTTCCAAGCTCCAGACTCATATGTCCATCTTGATATCTCCACTTGATATATATGTATGTATCCCTAGGTGCAAACCTGCATTTGCTAAGGCTGGTCAAAAGCCCTGGAAATAGACCGAATATCTGTGTAGCTTTCAACACCTGTTATGTCATTGAGTCTTCCCAACAACACCTGAAGTAGGTGGCATCGTCACCACTTTGCAGATGAGGAAACTGATCCCTAGAGAGGTTGTCCTGCTGGTATGTGACAGCAGAGTCAGGCCTCAAACTCCTGCCTTCAGGCTGGAAAGTGGAGGGATTTCTCACTGCACCACAACTGTTTTGGGGGTGCTGAATCTGGGAGTGAGGGAGGCAGGATGGTAGGAAGTGGAGAGGAAGCAGCTGCTGAGTGAGGCACCCTCTTGGGAGGGAATGGGTTTGAGAGGGGCTGCTCAGTGAGACCCAGTTCCATTCCATCGCCCCTTTTGATTGGTTACTACTCTTCAGGTAAAACTTCCCAAGTTACGGATTTTGGTCTCTGATAGTAATGCCAACTGTTGTTCTAAGACCAAACCTTCTGATGATTAAAATACCTCTGTCCGGGCAGCAGAAATGACAAGTATAAAAGCTTTGCTCCCCAGCCTTGGTAGATATAAGTGAAGCGATCCAGCAGAGCAAACACCCACTCCCTGCCTGTCCCAGGAGGTGGTGTGAGCCGCTGTTGTATTCGACTAGCGTCACCTCAGACTTGGCAACAAACGGGTAAAGGAAGCCATAACATAGACACACGCAGAAGCTCGGTATCCTTGTCCCCAGGCCTGAAACCCCTGCAGATGCCAGAAATGAAGAAGGTCAGAAGAGAGCTCTGTCTGGGACTGAGCCACGCACAGGGTGAGGAGCTGCAGGGGAAGGAAGGAGTCCCAGCATCCGGAGAAGTGGGCCTCCCGGAAACCTGGGAAAGACGGGGAGATACAATCCCTCCTTCCAACAGGGAAGGAACTTCCTGCAGCAGAAGCAGACTTAAGTTTGCTTTCTGAGCATGTTTTTCAGCCATAAAGAAAACGTGTTAGTTCATAATCTAGAGGTAACTCTTCTGCTGGGTTCTACTGAAGGCGGAGGTTCAAATACCTCTGTCAGGGCTTTTGACTTTCTCCCCACGTCGCAGCTTTGCTGTCCTCTTTCCTCTGTCAGGGTGTCCTCAGGGAGGCTGGCTGTTTCCCCCCTGCAGGCACAGATGGCCACACACAGCTCTAGGGTGATGCTGGCCTTGTCATTACATTTACAAAGGGCTCGGGAAGCCATGTGAGGACAGGCCACTCTTTTTTTAAAATTTTTTTAATTTATTATTTATTATTTTTTTGATGTGGACCATTTTTAAAGTCTTAACTGAATTTGTTGCACTATTGCTTCTGTTTTATGTTTTCGGTTTTTTGGCCACGAGGCATGTGGGATCTTAGTGCCCTGACCAGGGATCGAACCCACATCCCCTGCATTGGAAGGTGAAGTCTTAACCACTGGACCGTCAGGAAAGTCCCCAGGCCACTCTTAAATCCAAAATAAAGTGCGTTCAATGAAATGAAGTGGGAGTTCTTCTTTTGGCCGCTGCCTCTTTCACCGGTACGTGTGTTCTTCACGTGTGCGGCTGAGCGCCCTCTCCCCTCCCCTAATACTGCGTCCCAGACTCACGCAATTACCACTGTGGGTTGTAATGCTTTTAATGGGTGGCATCCATCTTTGTTGGTTTTTATTTCAGTGGAAACATTTAGCTCACCGTTAGGTGTAAGTATTCCTTTCTAACTTCATTTCATTGGTTTCCAAGTGGGGTACTTACAGATGTCTTTAAGGTTTGCCCACAGTTTTGGAGTCCCCATGCACAGCTGTGATTGTTGTTGTTTTTTTTTTTTGATGGCACTATCTTCTGGAACTCTCAAAACCGAAAGCTTCCCCTACCCCCAACTTTGAGCCACCTATGTCTCTCTTCAGGGTTTTGAAGGTTACTGCATACGTGCGCGTGCGCGCGCGCGCACACACACACACACACACACACACACACACACACACACAGATGTGCATGTCTTATTTATTTGTCATCAGTATGTGTAGTAATCACTGATAGAGAGGGAAATAGTTTAGTTTTTAAATTAAAACTTTATGATGCAACTTGGCAAGAACTCTGAGTGTTTATTTGCCTGTGTCCAAATGGTGGACTCCCTCTGCCTCTGCTGCTTAGGTCTCAGGTCTGGTAAAATTGTCAATGCAAGTGCAACGAAACGTGAGAGCTTTAGGCATTTTCTTCTGAGGCTGCACTTGATCACGGTGTAGGGACGGGTGCTGCCTTGTTTTTCATTTATTGTCTTATTCTAGGCACTTGAAGAGGCCCAGAAAGCGATTCAGCAACTCTTTGGAAAAATCAAAGATATCAAGGACAAAGCAGAAAAATCAGAGCAAATGGTGAGTTTCGGTTTCTTCCTGACATTTTTGCGCCAGAAGAGGAAGTTGGCTTCTCGTCCAGTCATACTAGTTAATAGACTGTTCTCCCTCTTCCTGCCAACCACAGCACCCACGTCTCCAATGCTGGCCCTGGGACGACATCCATTCAGGAGGTGCTGCTAGACATGTAGTGACTCACTATCTCTGCTGCCCTGTATTTGCAGCCCTGTTTTTAAACAGGGAAAGCTCTCTTCTTCTCCTTTACCCAAAATAGTTTCCTCGTCATTTTGGATTCCTTTCTCTAGCATTTGTTTATATCACGTGTTTCTCAGTTCAGATGTATGACATGTAACTTGGCATTGCTTGAAAACTGGACCTGGATCTGGGAGGTGGGCCGCATCCTGCCTGTGATACGTGCTGAGGGGCTTGATTAAGCTCTCCCTCTACGCAGTGCTGCCCTCGGGTGATGTGCTCAGAGGCCTCCACCGACCGAGAGGCCCGCCAGTTTCTTCCACTCTTAATAAGAATAATAACTACCTCAAAGGGATGTTGTAAGAATTAAACGTATGAAGAGCACAGAGCATAGTACTGGGCTGGGGTTAGTTGCTTAATGAATGAAAGCTATTATTAATGTCATTTTTTCCCCCTACTCATTTTGGTTATAAAAACTCCTAGACCCTCCCAGACTTCTCTGCCTACATCTTATTATAATCTACTCAAGAACGGATCTGAGGTCCCACTCCCATGGACCCTTCAGTTCTCTTCAGTGGCCATTTGGCAAGACTGGACAGGCTGTGGAAGGCGGCGGGGGCGGGCCTGGCTTCAGCGGAGGGCATGGGGCGGTGGGGTGGGAGAGGGGACAGTTGGATACCATTAGTGAGCAGCATGGCCTCTGACGTCAGACCGCCTGCCTTCAGATCCACCCTCTCTCCTTCCTTCCTGGGGGCCTTAAGCAAGTTACTTACCCCCTCTGTACCTCAGTTGCCTCTCTGTGAAGTGGCGGTAATATTTGTGTGTACACCACAGAATTGTGGAGATTCGTGAGCACTTAGGATTCTGATCTGCTAGTCTGGACCACGCTCCCTTTCGAGGCCGAGGGGGGATGCAGTAACAGTCTGAGTAGACCGCTCCTAATGCCATTAGATGTTTTATTTTAAAGCAGTCTGGGACTTCCCTGGCGGTCCAGTGGTTAGGACTCTGCGCTTCCAATGCAGGGGGCATGGGTTTGATCCCTGGTCGGGGAACTAAGATCCCATAAGCCATGTGGCGTGGCCAAAAA